TTTATTAAATTGTACTGGTTTATTTCTTGTTGAGTTATTCCGTGATAATCATTTCCGAATTTTCACTTCGTAACACATGTAAATCATTTCCGATTTATATGTTCGTTTCCCGTGATCCATATTTACTATTTTACAATAGTTATCAATCAACTTGTTTACATGGATGTTGTAAAGGTAGTGTAGAAAGAAGACAATGTAATTATTAATTTTATTAATAAGTGTCAATTACAATGATCTTGGAAGTATTAATTGATATACACCACCCTCCAAAAAGTATTTGGATGAGGTTTTTTAATAACCACACAAAATGCCACATAACAAAAGTACATCATATATGGCTTAGGTTTTGGTGAATCTATGTGGTGTTTTTTATCATTTTTTTATAATTTTTAGTTGAAAAAAAAAACAAATGCCAGTCAAAATTTTTTTTAAAAAAAAATTAGTATTCTGTTGGCCACCTGTTATTAGAAATTCATGCTTCAATTCTTCTTGGCATATTTTCAATAAGGTTATGTAACATACTCTGAGGAATTTGAGACCATTCTTCTTTCATTGCAAACTCCAATTCTGTTGTGTTTTTTGAGTAATTATTTCTTGGTGCACTTTTTAAAATTTCTACATTCTTATAATGTTTGATAGTGTCATGAACTGTAGACTTTAGAATATCAAGTGTCTTTGCGATTTTTGCAAGAGAACTACCACCTATTCTTAGAACTAAAATTTTTCCTTGCTCAGCTTCAGTTAATTCTGTCAAATTTTTTTTGATCAATTTTATTGGTAACAGTTTATTTTAATAACTAAGCTTTCACATATGACAAGAACATAAAGTTTTAGTCATTTATTTATGAGAATCTAAACTACAAACTATTAAATTTTATAATATAGAATTTGAGAAACATAAATTTAAAAAACAACAAAGATAATCCTTGCAATTTATTTGGTGTTTGTTTTTTTTAACTAAATTCATAAAAGAAAGATGGCAAAATGAGTTTTTATATATAGAGTTGCCAAAATTTAAGCTATATATGATATAAATTTTATGTACTTTCATTATGTGGCATTTTGTGTAATTATTAAAAAACCTCATCCAGATACTTTTTGAAGGGTAGTGTACATTTTGATTTGGTGAAATTCTTACATATAATAAAAAAACCTTGCAAACAAGTAAGTATTATTTAATTAAAGACATTGTGTGATTTGTTTATTTTTATAATTTCTAATTATCATTGTGGATTATAGTTACAGCTATATTCATTTCCAAAGTGCAGTAATAGATAGGGTTAGGACTTTTTATAATATGTATGGCAGTCAAGAGCATTTAGGACCTGAAAAAAAGAATTACATTTGGATTTTCTTGTGAAAAAAAATCATGTGATGATTTAAATTTTGTATGTCATTCATTATTTGATTATAACAATGATTGATATAATTGATATGATACCATCATTGTCATCATCATCATCATCATCATCATCATCATCATCATCATCATCTTGTTAACACCCCAGAAACAAGAACCTGATGCTACTAGAACAATGACAACATCAGGAACATATGGTTTTCCATACAAAATCATAGAAAACTTGTATGTATTGTAAGTTTTATTGAATTTATCTACCAATTAACATGATTTTTTTTTGTTTAACAAGTGAATATTATTACATTTATTCCAACCATGACAAATAACAATGAAATTAATATTGAGTATGGCACTAATAAAAAGGCATTGACATAATGGCAATGACCAAAGATACAGTCAAACCTGTTTCAACAAATCTATGGGGATGAACACTAAAATTCATTGAAATAAAAACAAAATTTTAATTATTTCAGTAATGATCAGAAAGTTATTTGTTTGAAATATTCGAATTACACTGAAAGTTTATTTGAATAAATAAATAAAACGAATATACAAATAATTCAAATAAGAATTTGTATTATGAATAGAAACTTTAATATTTGTTTGGACGAAAAATTTATTTTATTTTAATGATTAACGAATCAGATATTGTTGTTTTGTTCTGGTCACGTCGCAATGATCATTTCTAAAATAGGAAAAATCATTGCGTGCCAAATCTCATTTTTGATATATAGTAAAATCGTGCAACTTCAAAGCACTAAGGCCTTTTCTTTTCTTTTATTAATAAAATTGAAAAAAACTCTCTATTTCATTGTTGTTTAAGTTATAAAGATTTGAAGTTGCATGATCTTTTTGATGTCTTTAGATGACCTGCACCATAGGGTTGGATGAATGATGTTGTTGATATATCTGTTGAATAACAATAATTTATTTTTACTATTAAAATTTAATATGTATTGTTCCAAAGCTTATTATCACTTGCAATTGAAGTCAAAGAATTATATCTAAAAGAGAAATAAATATCAGTTTCAAAAGAAAAGCAATGAGAAATAATAAACCATTATCTTCCTGTTCTTCTTGATTTCTTATCATCATCTTTATAATCATTATTTTGTTTGGTTTTTTAAAAAAATTGTAAATTCCAATTCCCAATCCTCTTTTTCGTTTTCACTTTTGAAATCATAATCCTTGCCATCATCATTGTCAAATATTAAATAATTTTCTTCATCATTTAAACAAAATTCATCATCTTCAAGAACCTCCAAGATTTGGATCTATATCTGGTCAAAAAGTAGAAAATATCAATTAAAATTTTTGTTTTTTTTTTTAAACTACAAATTATAATAATTACCATCAAGAATTGCTGATTGTATTAATGATCCAATAGGCATTTCATGCTTTGATGGATGATATGATAATATCTAATTCATCAGGTAAATCAATATTTTTTTTTTTGAAATTACTTGATCCTAATAACCAAATCAGTATATAAATAGATATAAATTATTTCAATGACAAACAAATAGTTGTAAACTTATATTTTAATCAAAATTATAAAAGATAATTCAGAAGGAACAATTGGTAATAATTAATGTTAAATCATTAATTCTTTTGGAATATCATTTTTTAAAAATCATTCTCATCATTGCTTTTTTTTTTGTATTTACAACATAAACAGATTCTATAATAATTATAATAATAACCTTTTCCTTCAATACTGAATCCTTTTTCTTTTTGATTTTCAACTAATTTAATATCTCCACCTTTTTTAATCTTTAGAAATATTGATATAATTCCATCTAAATTTTCACAAATTGCTTTTAAATGTTGTCATTATCCCATATATACATTTATTTATTTAGTTATTTATTCCTGTAAAATAAATTTTATTTCAAAAAAAAATTTTTGTTTCGTATTTCTATTTATAGCAATATTTTTGATGGATCTTTGCACCTTGAAAATTTGTATGCCCTAAACAAGTATTTATATTAAGATTTTACTTGACAATAAAATGCTAAACTTATACAGATTTTTTATTTTTTTATTTTCAAAGGACTCAGCAACAGAAACTAATAAACAAAAACTTGTTTATGTTGGACAAGAAGAAGGCAAATTGGTATCAGTTTGTAAGTTGATACAAGAAAGTTTAAAACCATATGTATTAGTGCTTGTTCAATCCATTGAATGTGCCAAAGAACTATTTCGTGAGTTAATGTATGATGATGTTATACATTCTGAAAGAACAAAAGCTCAAGTATTATATGCATGTGCTTGATGGTTATTTTTTATTCAAAATAGTTATTAAAATCTCTATTTTTATTTTTTTTTTAAAAAAAAGAGTGATTCAATTGTTTTAAATTGTTTGAAAAGGAAAAACATGGAATTTAATAACTAATGAATTAATAGTGCATAGTAGGAGTAAGTTTAATTATAAATTATGATTTTCCACAATCAATCCAAAGTTATGTCCACAAATTGGCAGAGCTGGTAGGACAGGTAGATTAGGCAAAGTCATTATTACATATCACACAAAAGATAATGTTCCATATTTAAAAAGGTGAATGCAGTGAAGCCTTGTTTCAACGAATTATGATTAAATTCGTGTTTCAACAAATTTTGAATATGTCCAGCCACACTTTGTTGTAACAAGGTTATATATCAAATTTTATATTTGATATCCAAATTTCAAAATGAAAAAAAAATCCAAAGGTATGGCAATTATGAGAAGTCATTACCTTTATATAATTTACTATTAAATACAAATAATTAATTTCATTTCTCAAGATATTTATTATAGTAGTCAAATAAATAAATAAGATAAAATATAATTTAATACATGATAAAATGACAAGATTAACTCATTCGAATTAATTCAATCTGCTGAGAATCTAAAAAATATTTAACATAAGTGGATATTAATAAATCAATAATGAAAACAATCAATGATTAAATGTTAATAATTACCATTATTATTTCCAATAATTGTCACTTTATTGGAATTCACAGGTTGGGGAAGGCTTGTAAATTTTAATAGCCTGCTAGTATAAACAGCATTTGGATGAATTGCTGTAGTGATTGATGAAGGATCAAATTTTATTTCGTCCATTTCATAAAACATTTTTCTAGTTGATTTTAATTCAACCAGCTGTTTTTTTGAATATCCATAATTTTTAAAATTATTTATTACATCATCATCAAGTGAATCATTCCAAATTTTAATAATCATACGAATTTCTTCAGCAGTTGGACGTTTATCTGGATTAGCATCCATGCATCTGAATGCTAGTTCAATATACAATTTTGGTGTGTTACTTGAAAATCCTGGTCTTACACCCTCACATATTTTTATTGCAAGATCTGCATTATGTGCCAAATTATTAAAAGGTTGCTGACCAGTTGACATTACAGACATCAGAACTCCAAAGCTGTATATATCTGATGCTGCTGTGTATGGATTCTCCCTTAAAACTTCTGGTGCAACATATGGTAGCACTCCAAATATGTCGTTTTTGTTTGATGCAGATGCTTGACTAGATGGGCATGATAATCCCAAGTCTGTAATATATGAATAAATAGTACTTTGAAGAATATTGCCACTATGAAGATCACGATGAATAATTTCTTCTTCATGAATATCTCTTAAACCTCTAATAATATAATAAAGAATTTTAATTTTATGTTCCCATTTTAAAATTTTAAAATCTTTTGTTAAATAATTTTGAAGACTTCCATCTTCTATATGTTCCATTACAAATATATATTCTTTTGTAATTGGATCTTGTGTTAACCCATAAATATGAATTATTTCTGCTTTATCATTAAACTTCATATAATTTTCAAACTAAAGTAACAATTATAATCAATAATATTTCAAAAAAATTGAAACTTGATGTTAATAAAATAATTACCTCTTTAAGGAATTCATCAGAAATATCCTGTGAATTATGTAATTTTTTCAATGCCACAGTCTTATCTTCACTAGTTCTATTTCCATGCCTATAATTTACACGTTTCTCACCATTTAACCAAGTAGCTTTGTATATAGTTGCAAAACCACCTTCACCTATATTTTCAATCTGTGTTAAATCATCATAAGGAATCCATTGAAGATATTTATCATTATCATATGATGTTGCTTTAAGCTGTGTACTTTTAATCAACTCATCTAATGTTTCATTGCCACTAGTCCATCCTTCAGTTAATAGATTTGGATCACATGATTGACACCATGACCGATTAGTATTGTATCTATTGCAGATTGGGCATTCCCCATGCCTTTCATTTCTTAAATATTCATATTCATCATCATTTAAAGTATCCTCCATCTTTAAAAATTACTTTTTTTATAATTTATATAATTTGTCAAAAAAAATTATTATTATTTTTTTTTTTAGTCACATTGGAAATACAAAAAATACAAAATTAATATATTTGGGTTTTAATCAGTTAACTAATTCCATTACAAAACATTTTTCCACAATTATTTTACATTGATAGGTAAATTAACTATATATTTTCTATTTGTAGCTTCATCAATAATATAATTTTTACAGCTGAAACAGATTAAACAAATGGAACATGCATTTATTCTTAGATTAAAATCTTGGGAATTATTTAAAAATCTTTTTTTTTTCGTTCATATCAACGGATAATAATAATGCTTATAATGCTTATATGAATTGAATTAAAATAAATATGTAGAATACAAATAGAATGTCTAATATTTTTTTTTTAACATTAATAATACGCACTCGTTGAATTAATTTTATGTATGTATTATATAGTAAATAAATAAATGACAAGATTTTTTAACTTATTTAGGTAATTTGTCTGGTATAAGTTAATTCAATCTGTTGAGAACCCAGGAAAATTTTATCAAGAGTGGATATTAAAAAACGTTGTAAATTTAGAATTAATCTAAATTACTCGGCGCCGCGCGTGTTCCTGTCAATTTTATTATGACATTTTTATCTATTCAAAAAAATTATCAAGAGAGACGTGTTTAAATTAGCCAATCGGACTTTACATCGCCTATAAAATAAAAAAGTTCTTGGAAATAGTTTCGATCCGATGTTAAAAATTCTTACAACTATTGACATGAACATATTTTTTTTAATCGTATTTTTTGAATTGTTTCGAGATTATTTAAAGCTTATCTACCCTGCTACGTACAGACATTTTGATAAACAAGACATTTTTTATTAGAAATAAAATTTGAGAGAGTTCCTTAAATTCGCATTTTTCAAACCAAATAATTGATGATGATTATGATGATGATGATAATGATAAGTTTCTTAAATTCGTTTTTAAACAAAACAATGCGATTTCATTATTTATGCCAATAAAAAAAAAGATTTATAGTCACAATAAAAAATTTGCAAACACAAGATGATGGGTAATCATTATACAATAGCCCTTTATCTTGTACTTTGATATACTCTGGTACGTTTCCAAGACTGGACGGTGATATATTTATTGTTTCCTCCTTTCAATATATACCATAAAGATGATTTTCTTGCTGAGTGAGGTCAGACCAAACATTTTATGATGATCATGCCATTCTTGGAATGGGTTAATCGTACAATGGATGGTGGTGTGACCCACTACCCAAAACTGTGACCTGCCACCTTGAATGGATATGGCGGTCCAGACCTACTGATCCATGGCATCACCATAGCTCAATTCCACTCTTTTATTAAATAGAATTAGGTTTTCAGTACATATGTTTACATATTTCTATTGCTACTATTACTATTGTTCCTACTTCTAATACTAATATTATTATTATTGTTATCCTCATTATTGTTTCTATTAATAGATCTACTATTACTATTATTTCTACTGTTATTCTTATACTGTTAAACCTTTCCTTTTCCCATTGTATAATAATACTATCACACCTCACTTTCCATATCTTTTCTTTGGATTTTTCCACTATCTTTTACATAAGCTTCTTGTTAATTTGCTTATTTTGATTTTAGGTATTTTTTGTTCTTCTAAGCATGTTTGAATTTCACCTGGTATAAATCCTCTCAGCTGCACAAATAATGTACATGCTTCATTGTTATGATTAAAGTATGGCAGATTTAATAATCTTGATTTGAGAGTTTGACAATTTATTGTTTCTTTATTATTGTTACTACATTTTAACATTAAATGTATCTCAAAGCAACTTATCTCCAACACAAGTTTTATTTGCATTACAATTCCAGATGTGTATTTGGTCATCTTTACGTTCTAGGCACCTAGGGTACATACTGTCTGTGTATAGTTTCGGATTTCAAGTACTGGAAAATACCATCAAGATGATCTTTTTTCAACCTTCATTTAAAACACGTGATTTTCTAGATTTTTTGCGAGCGCGTGGCGCAGATTTGATAATGTTGCTTTGTTTGTTCAGCCAGCAAATTCATATAGTAAATTAATTTCTAATGAGGACAAAAACAGTTTTGAATATGGGTATATATGGTTGTGGGATGTTCATTATATGGTTGTAATCATGGCAAAATTTTTGAATGTTATGCAATTTAAAATATTAGATGTTGAAATCTTTAAACAAAATCACGCAATAAAACTCATATTGAAAAACAAGAGCTTTCAGAGCATAATGGACACTCATTTTGTGCAACAGTGATTTGTATAATAGGCAGGCGGTTACACGGAGCCCGTTGCTTCTGAAACTTCACTAGAATATAGCTGTAGCCTCTCTAAGTCCAGATCATCAGCAAGATCAAAATTATCACACTTTTATAATCAAACTTTTGCAAGAACTTTCACCATAACATATGTTATGTTGATCATTTTTTTGTGATCTGCAACAGTGTCCACTATGCTAGCTTTCAGATTATTACATTATTATGTGAGCTTTCAGACTATCACATTATTATGTAGGCTTTAGAGTATCATTAAAAAAAAAATTTTTTTTCGCATCTAGAAATATAAAAATTTATATGCATTGGTTTTCTCAATTTAGAATATAGTTATCTTTAATTAACAACTTTAAATTTTTAAAGAAAATAGATAATATTTAGCAATACCGTTGCCCTCTTCTTTTTCATCATTTCCATTAATTAAAAAATCTCGGTGATTCTCATAATTAAATAGTAATGTTTTATCAACCTAGTCAGGGTAAGATTAACTAATACTTTTAACACTATTATTTGAATAAACGAACTTGCTCATCATATATTCGTTTCACATCAATGCCTATTAACATTAACCAAAAACACCTTTAAACGACAAATTTCTTTTTATCAAATTTGTACTACAAATATTAAAAAAAAACAAATATTAAAAAATGTGTATCACTTTTGAACTTTCCAACAAGTTAATATATTGATTGATAAAAAAAAAGAAATATATAATATATATATATATATATATATGCGTAATAACAACAATAATAATAATTTTAAATTTTATTGAAATATTAACCTAAAAAAAGTGATTGATAAATCAAACAATGGGACAAGGCGATTCACGGCCTTTACAAGAGATGGTTGACAATAGTAATTGTAAATATCAAGCGCGAGAAACACAATATTAATTTTTAACAGTGACATTTTAAAAGCATTCTTTTATATATTAATTTATTTGTTCTTTTTTTGCTAACAAGCACTGTTTTTCTTTTTCCACTATCTCGCATTTCCTTTTTCCCACCACCTTTCTATTTGTTATAGTTTCCGCTGAAGAAATACAAAGGCTTTATAAAAGATTTATGAAACTTGATACAGATAAATCAGGTTCCATAGAACGAGAAGAATTTCTTTCTATTCCACAAATCGCCAATAATCCATTAGCATCAAGAATGATTGCTATATTTGATGAAGATGGAGGTGGAGATGTAGATTTCAAAGAGTTTATTGCTGGATTGAGTGCTTTCAGTTCAAAAGGAAACAAAGATGAGAAATTGCGTTGTAAGTAAAAAAAAAAATTTTTGATGAATGTGCATTATGAAGTTATATATATATATTTACATGCTATTATTGCACACTATGTAGTATTGCATATTACATATGACATAATACTAATAATTACAAATTATTACATTAAATAAAAAACAGTTGCCTTTAAGGTATATGATATGGATAGAGATGGATTAATTTCCAATGGAGAATTATTTATTGTATTGAAGATGATGGTTGGCAATAATCTTAAAGATAATCAACTTCAACAAATTGTCGATAAAACAATTATGGAAGCTGATAAGGATATGGATGGAAAGATTTCTTTTGAGGAATTTTGTTCGATAGTAGAGTCAACTGATATTGCAAAAAGTTTGACATTGAATGAATTCTAGTAGTAAGATTGATAGTAACATTTTATTTATTTATTTTTGGTTTTGAGTAATTTATTTAAATAAAAGATTAGTAATCCTTTCTTATGGTATATATATATATACGAGTTTTTTTTTTTTTGGTAAATATGTGAAAGAGCGTGTGTAAATTTTTACTTCCTTGTCCAAAGACAATCAATCAATGGCTAACTGGTTAATTAATGAGGATAATAATAAAGATGGAACAAAGATGCAGATAAATTTTTTTAAAAAAAAAGATTATTAGCGCATTCATTCACACACCACCCATGAATCTCATTCATCCAGGCTACATTGATGTCTTGTATTGTTATTATTGCTGTATTGAGAAAACGTTATAAATATTAATGTTGTTACACGATCTTATCATAAAAAAGTAATTGTAAAAATCAAATTTGTTGGTTCTAGTCAAGTTCTTATGGAAAAAATCAAATTTTCGTAAAGGAAAGAAAAATAAATTAATTTAAATAGATTTTTACGTGAACGTTGATTCTGCTTTTGATTAATGGAAGAAATCATGCTTCTAATCAAGAAACTGTCAATATTTCATCAGACAATTCTAAAAGATCATTTAATCTCTGTGGTTAAAATATCTCTCCTGGATGCTGACAAGATGACATATTAATATAATTTTATCGGAGTTTCCGGAATTTATATAATAGTAATTATAATAGTATTTCGCACTCTGCTCATGATCTGTTGTTTTTATAATCAATCATACAGTTAAACAAACATTGCATATATTAACCTTATTTGATAAACTTTAGAACAAGTAATTAATTTCCCCATTTATTTGGAGAATTTAATTTATAGCTTGTGTTACAGCAGCATTGAATATTTTCGTTATGATTTTTACTTACATTTGCTTTGTTTCGCGATTTTTTTTTTTTCAAAAAAAATTATATAGTTACGCAACTCAATCCAATTATTGTTTAATTTCATTATTTCCATTTTACTTTTTTACCATTTCAAATTTTTTTTTTGCTAAAAAATGTTTTACTCAGAGGCTATTCTATCTAAAAAGGTTAGTAAACAGTGGGGAGAGAGTGTGTGTGGTTATTCTTTAAGATCTCTGAGAATTTTAATGAAATAATTCAAAATTTTTTATATTATATGAACTTTACTGATAAAAGGGGCCACTTGCTAAAGTATGGTTGGCTGCACATTGGGAAAGAAAACTTAGTAAAACACAATTTTTACAAACAAATATACAAACATCAGTTGGTAAGCATATCCATAATTTATACTTTAATTTAGGTGATGTTGTTTGATTATTTAAGTCTTTAAAACCGAACAATGATCCTATGTAACCAACTATAAAAAAAAATTTACAATATACTTTCAAATTTTATAAAGGGGCAATACTTGGTGGAGACCAACCTCCGATGGCTTTAAGATTATCAGGACAATTATTACTTGGTGTTGTTAGAATATATTCACGTAAAGCGAAATATTTGTTAGAAGATTGTACTGAAGCCCTTTTAAAAATAAAAATGGTATATGATTTATTATTATTATTATTATGTTATTGTTGATCTTTTAATGAATGAATATATATTACGTTTTTTTTGATTTATCATTTTCTAATAATATACATCATTTTTTTTAAAAATCATCATCATCATCTTAACATTACATAATAAAAAGGCATTTAGACCTGGTGAAGTTGATATTCCAGAGGATCAACGAGTTGCGAATTTTGAATCTATCACATTACCCGAAAATATTACAGAGTTTGATATATTATTACCCGATCCACAATTAAATTTAAGGTATGCATATAAATATTTGGTATATGTGTAATTCATCCATCCATTCATATATATATATGTGTGTGTGTATTTTAATAAAAAATAAATTCCATTTTTAAAGTCAATGGTCAGAAGTTATTACCACCGCAACAAGTTCCAATATATCAAGACCGCAAGATATTACTATTACAGATAATTTTGATATTACAATGGATTCAAATATTCCTGCGGTTGATTTATTAATAGGCTTGGTGGATGGGAAAGGACTCGATTTTGACTTTGATGATGAAATTGATCCAAAGTCGACAGATATTATTGATGAAGAAGTTGGCGGTAGTGGTGATGTTGCTAGTGAAGAAGGATCGGAGTCTCCAGAGAAAGCACGTGAGCGTCTTTCTGAACCTCCTATTGTTATAGATGAGTTGATTGAAAAGAGTCCTATAGGCGACGAACAATACCCAATGGAAGGAATAACGTAAAAGGCTATTCTTATTAATATACAAGTGTATGTTTATATGGATCTAAATTAAATTAAACTGTTTTATTTACAATATCAAATAACATATGAATAGTGAAAATTACATTGAGCCTCCTATATTTAGTCCAATATCTCAACAAAGCCTTGAAAGACAAGGTAAAAAAATTTTATTCTTTATATTTTCTGTAGCACACCACTTTCTGTGACAAATTATTGATTTTTTTTAAATTTAGATAACATTGTAGAAGAATTATTTCAGGATATCGAATTTACGCAACAAGAAGAACAACAGCCGCAACAAGAAGAACAGCAGCCGCAACAAGAAGAACAACAGCTGCAACAAGAAGAAGTACAGCAGCAAGAGCAACAACAGCAACAAAATGCACAAAAAACTACACAAGCTCGTAGAAAACGTAAATTAGTTTTGGATGAGGTAACAGAACTAACAAATAAACATATTTCAAATCAAATCAAAGATACTTCTGATATCTTGATAGAGGTATTTATCATTAAATTATTATTGCAATATTACAATTATTTTTATCATTACTGCCAATTAATAAATTTTCATACACATCAATGCTCAATTCATCCATATATTTTCTGTAGCCTACATTTTTGCCCGCTTCACATAAATTATTACGTATAGGAGAAATACGTCAAATGGGTCCTTACTACTTCCTTGATATGACAGCACCACATAATATCAATCCTAACTTCAAGTATCTATTTGAAGGGAAACGTCAAAGAGAGACAACACCGCCTATAGAAGAAGAATCTGATGTGGCATCATATCCAGGTAGTTCGTTATTAATATCTGGCATTTTATTATAATATTATTAAGATTAACGTATATATGTGTATATGTATATGATATTGGTGCGTCCAGATCAAGCTGAACATAATTTAAATGTGTCAGAAAATGAAAACATAAATAACGATGATATTATTATAAGTAATAATGACAATGACAATTACAATGACATTGATATTGATATTGATGACAATAATATTAATAATAATAACGACAATAATAATAACAATAGCATTAATAATAACGAAAATGAAGAACCAATGGTAAATATGTTTATATTGTAATAATTGATGAATATATATTATACATGTATTAATTCATAATAAATGTAATTTTTGTTATATGTAGTTTGATACAGATTTTCCTGATGTGCCGGAAAATGAAAAAACAATCAACAATAATATTACCAGTGATAATGATAATGGTAATCTTAATATCAATAATACTACTAATAACAATAAAAATGACGAATCAATGGTAAATATATTTATATTGTAATTAATTAATGAATATGTGAATCTTTATTATAAACGTATTTATTTATAATAAATGTTAACTTTTATTATATTTAGTTTGTTGCAAAAGTTCCTGATGTACCAACTACTCCTTCTAATGAACAAGGTGATTTTATATTTTATAATCCATCCATTCATACGTTTATTATTTAGCTATTAATTAATTTATTTCGTAATTATCTTATATAATAATAATCTTAAGACGAAACACAGGAACAACCAATAACAGGTAGTGAGGCATCATTCAGTAAAAATACAATTAATGCAATGAAACTTTTGAAAAGCAAATGCCCTGAACAAGAACAAGTAAGTGGTAAAGTTTCCAGTGAATCAACCAAGTCAAGGCCAGCAGTTGTAAGCTTTGAAGATTTTGTTGGAGTGGTAAATAGTTTAATTTTATTTAATTTAACTATATATGATTTTTAAGGGATTTTAGATATTGCATTATTAATATTAATATTTTTAGGCCAAGCGACAAGAAGTTGTAAAGTTGTTTTTTGAATTGTTAGTGCTGAATACAAAAGACGTTATTCAACTACAACAAAAACAACCTTATGGTGATATTGAGATCTTGTGCAAGGTAATCATCAATTATTATATCATTACTTGTAATATATTTTTAATAACTTTATTATTTTTTTTTTTTAGAAAAATTTATCTGATTTACTTGATGATGGAGAAAAGTCAATTTCTAATTAGATTTTTTTAATAATAATGAAAAATAAAAATTATTTTAACTTAAGAATGGATTAAACTATCTTTTGTTAATATTTTAACATGAAAAATAGTTTGGCTATCCAAAATCCCAAAATATTTCAACTATCCAAATTATTTCAACTTTAATTCTGATAGCAAATCAAAAATCAAATAATATTCACCAATGTTTTGATATTTTTTATAATGGATTACAAGCAATCGAGGAAAATTTTATTGATGGATTTATAAAAATATATAAATTTGATGATGTGTGTTTGTTTTTGAATTTTAACGTTTAAATGGAAAGTCTGTGTTCAGTTTGTTATAAAAAACCTTGTCAATCTTGACCAATGAATACAAATAAGAAAAATATCTTGCATAAAAAACATCAACCGTTCTTATGTATATGTATATTAGCTTTAGTAGTATATTAATATATTAATATTAATACGTTACAAATCCCGTACTTCACACTAAATTTGGGAAGGGAAATTTTTCAAAAAAAAACCATATAAGAAATACGTTAATTCTGTATTTTATTTTTCATAGTAATAGGATTGCAACCATTAATCAGAAAATATTGTCAGCAAAGTTGTTATACAACAATGTGGAATGGATTGTTACGCAACCATCAATCACTGATAATTCCAAGATGGTGAAACTGAAATACAAAAGGTTGATTCATCTATGATGTATTAATTAGTGATTGTTATATTACATCATATCAATAAAAACATTGTTCGAGTTGTTTGAACAAACTTCACATTCAAGACTATCTTTTAAACAAAGTAAATAATCACACACAATCCTTCCTTGTATTGAAAAATTATAAAAACGTCATCCCCAGCTCATTTCAGGTAAAAATCCTTGATTAAACAGAATTTTACTTTGTTTAAAAAATCCAATAATCAATAGATATTTACAATAGTTTTCATCAATAGCATTTAAAAAACAGTTTCAACAATGAGATTTTTTTGTGAAGATTATTCAGATTATATAAATGAAAAATAAATCTCTCCAAATTTTATGAAAGAATAATCTTAACACAAAGTGAACAGAATATGTATTGTAGTATAAGTCCAGGTCACACATATCTGCCACATACCTTCAATAATTCCAATTTTTTTAGCTCAACACCCACAGCAATTTCTTGATCTTGTAACAACCAAAAATTCTTAACTACTGACAAGTTCAATTTGCTCTATAAAAAAATGGGATAGTTTAGTTAATACAGTATGGTTAAAAGTTCCTATATACTAAGATTGATGAAAACATGGGCTAACATGACATTTGCTATGGTCTTCTGTGAATCTTGACTTCAGAGAAGTGAAGACATAAAGCTTGAAAGCCGCCACAGAAGAGAACACAAATTATCCATATACCCAGAATCTGGATATATGCTCATCAACAAGCATGGAGCCTTTCCCATAACAAGTATGGAACCTGTTACAGTATTTGATGATATGTCATTCCATGAAAACAATACCACAAACATGACATTTTGCTATGGTCTTTGTGAATCTTGACTTCAGAGAAGTGAAGACATAAAGCTTGAAAGCCACCACAGAAGAGAACACAAATTGTCCATATACCCAGAATCTGGACATATGCTCATCAACAAGCATGGAGCCTTTCCCATAACAAGTACAGAACCTGTTACAGTATTTGATGATGTGCCCTTGGTTTGCCTTCAAAAACCTTAAACAAGATAATCTTTTAACGTGTACCTGTAAATTTCTTTTTGAAGCTACTGCAATTTTATTCCAAGTGGTTCCACATCCATATCCTGTTATTATACAATCTAGGTCTTTCCTGTAATTTAAATATTCAAAATCTTTATTAAGATGGCTTATTGGTTCACTTTTTTTTTCAATATTCTAAAAAACTATATAATGATGGTTGAGAAACATTCTCCCAATAACCTTTAAACAGCAAAGAAGGGTATTAAGCAGATTAATTTATATAGATAATGAATATGTCATGTTATAGATTACATACATGAATAAGCTACTGGTTCTTTTAAGCTTTCTTTGCAATCTTTTTTAATTTTCATCTTTAATCAAGTGTTATTGTTGTATTAATGTTATGAGATCAACACACAGTCAATGGAACCCTTGTCATACATGAGAAAAGTCCAAATTCATGAATTTGTGTGATAACTGCGCCAAATTCGCAAGGACCTGGAAATTTCTGTTTACCCAAGGGTTTATAAAAATCTATCATTGGATAGATTGGTCACACGCATTTAATAGAGACAATCGACAATTTATATGTGAAGAGTATTGTAAAATCGAAAAAGTGTCACTTAGAAAAGTGGCATGCCCCATATTAAATAACATCATCTCAAACTTTGCACAAATGTTATATTACTATTGTTTATTTCTGATCCATTAATAACTTTTCCTGATCATGCTGAGTTTTGACTTTTATTAGTAATGCCGTTTGCTCTAAATTTCGCTTTATTACATTCATAACATCCAAATTTATCAATGATCTACATTTTAATTTTCTTTGAACGCGTTTATTAAAAACTAACTTTCTTACATATACATTTAATAAAATGAATAATGGTAATATACGGAAAAATTTTGGTCCCTGCATAGTATGTGGTAATCAAGATCCTGACATATGATACAGAAGAATTACCATACAAACAATTTTAAAGATTAATAAAAGTCCTAATATTGAAAATTTAAATATAAAACCCCAAGTTGATGACCAATTGTGTCAAAAATATTACAATGAATTAATTCTATATGAACATGGTAAGCCTAAAATAGATCAAAAACAAAAGAATAAAAGTTATCATCAAGGTGGAAAACATCCAAAACATATTTGTATGGAAAAATATGAAACTTTAAACAAGACCTTAATTGAAACATCAAAAAATTTAGATGAGTTACAAGAGCATACAAATAAATTAGAAGCTAAATTAGAACAAGCATTAAGTTATATAATAATAAATTATTGTCAAATTATTTATATTTATTTATAAAATTAAAAGTCTTACATCTATATTATATACATTACAACATAGAAAACATCAAAAGCCTATAACTGACCCTGAAGAATTTGTCAATTATATTGAATCAGAAGATGTAAAGTTGAAAGGATTTTTTGATGTTTTATATCAATCAATTAATCCTGCTTCAAAAAATGAAGCCACAAAAAAGAAAATAAAAACCAAGGTTATGTTCATATGCTATCAGCTAACTGCAATTTGTAATAAACAAGTCAGTAGTATTAAATCATCTATAGGACTCTTTATGTCAGGATGTAGTACATCAGAAATTGGAATAGATTCACTTGCTGGATGGGGTTAAGTTCCACCTACTAAACAGTGTTTAATAGAATGAACAATATAATAAAAAATCAGTGGAAAACTATATTAAACAAAATGTATATAAAAAATTAATAATATATAATATATATTGTTTATAAAATTTTAACTGATTTTTTTTTCAATTGTGAATACTAGTGCCAAAACCTTTTGGTATTTAATCTTGATGATTTCCATAATCTGTATCAATCAAAAATCCCAAGTACCATGTCAATTTTTCAAATCTCACACATGGCCACATTACTTATTAATAAGATCAATGCTCTAACTATTCCAATTGGTTCATCTAATATACACAACCCAAAAGGAGTTGAAGCAGGCTTGTTAAAGAACCTATTAATAATGAAATTTGAAAGTATTGTATGTGAAAGTTACAATAAAAATAAAATGGAATGGAACTTTGTAACTGATATGACAAACTTAAATGAAAATGACCTTATTGATTCATTGATAGTTCACTCATATGATGCTGGTTTAATAGAATCAAACTCAAAATGTTCCTTTAAATTCACCAAACTAATTGATTTCTTACCACAAAATTTAAAGATTATCTAAAATGCCTTAAGATCTTTTTCAGGTTGAGCTATTAATTTTAAATAATGATTAAAATTATTTTATTTATAAATTAATAATCTTTTATTTTTTTTAGTTTTACAGAAATTAATAATTATCTTAAGCATTCTCTCATAGCAGTTCCTGCAGATTTTCCAGGTCAATTATATATTAGACATTTAATTGTGCAGAAATTAAACCTAAAAGAATCATCACCAATCCCAGACATAGTCACTTGCCTTGTGCCTTTTTTGGGACCTTTACACATGTCTCTTAATACTTGTGAGAGTTGCTTTGGGACTTCTTTTAATGAGTTTTATAAAACAATTTTCAAAAAAAAAAAAATTTACCAGCAAAGTCTCAACCTTGGAAGATGGATATTTTGCTATATTTGGCTCATGCATCATGGAAGATAGTCAGAAAACATATTGTTAAACATTTTGATAAAAGTAAAGATCTTGCATATTGTACCTTTTTTCATTTGTTGGATTCACTGATACCATCAACTTTAGACCTATGTGGCACTTTTTCATGGAAGCCATTTTGATGAATATGTTAAACAATATTCAGGCTATGGACAATGATGTGCTGTTTTCAATGAAAAAATTACAATAAAATCATGCTTGCATACTTATCAGATATTCAATATTGGATTGAAATCAGCCATCCAATCATTCAAATATTAAAGAATTACCTTAATTCATTTGATGAATACCCAGTGGAAAATTTCCACAGTCTAGTTAGAAGACACACAGATGCAAAGGCATTAATTCCAGAATGGTTGGGATCTTTGTTGATTATCAATGTCATGATGATAACTTTACCCAAATTTCAGAATAAAAAAATCATATCCATATTCAAAACAGAATATTGATTTGATGATAAAAAGTGGTGCAATTTTTTTGTTAAGATTTTTTGACAATCTTTCAAAAAATATTGGAAAGTTTGAAAAAAAATTGGAAGGTAAAAGAATCAAAAAGTCTTACTGGTATTTTCCAGGAATTCCAAAAGGATTTGCCAAAGGAGCATTACCATTAGGACACCATTCAAATCAACATCCACATCTTGATTGTTTCTGTGATGCAATCAAATGTGAAAATCCTTATTTAATTAATGGACCTGTTAAATTATGTAGTCATGCTTATCATGATGACTGCTGGAAACAATTAAATTTTGTATGCATTCATTGTCATAATTATCTGAGTCATATAATAAATGATTGGAAATGGATGAAATTCAAGATGAGTTTGAGCCACCTATAAATGAACTATTACAAGAAGAATCAAATCAAGTTGATACAGCACCAATTTATGAAGAAATAAATCAACAATTAAATAGAATTCTTACAGGTACTACAAATATTATTATATAAACTCTATGTTGTATAATTATTGAATATATCAAATATATAATTAGATTTCAGTGAAAACAAACCCTTAGAATTCTAAAAGCAGCTAATTCTGGAAATAAAAAAAATAGTTGAATTTGACGAGTTTATTTTTATTTTTTAGAATCCAAAAAATTCATGTGAAATAAACACTTGCCAATTCAGCATATTATGACATTATATTTCCAAAAGTTTTAACTATTCTCTATATTATTTTATGTTATTTTAGTTTTTTTACTGATTAACAATTAATAGACAAAAGATTATTTAATTTTTTTTTGTGGAAAATGGTTTTTGTATGAGAATTCTTTTTACCAGTCCCCAGTTTAAAATAAGAAGAGAGAATATTGAATAATACATTTTGCTCGAGTAAATGTTAATTAATTTTTTTGGAAGCACATGTGATTTTATTCCGTGATAATCACTTCCCAATTTTCACTTCGTGATACATGTAAATCATTTCCGATTTATATGTTCTTTTCCCGTGATCTATAATTTACCATTTTACAATGCCTTTTTGTCAAGAGTAGTAGACATAATTTTATCAGATTATTTTATATTGGAGGATAGAAAATATGGCAGTGTGTTTTTTCAAAAAAAGAAAAAATAGAAATTGCATACACACTAATTAATTATTATTATTGGCATTTGGCATTGCACACAGATTTTTTTTTACTTATTCTAATTCTAATACATATAAATAAATCAATCCAATGAAAATTCTTTGTTTTGGTGAATCTTGTTCCTATAAAAATGATGTAAGTGAATAGTTAGTACTGAATACATACAAAATATACATATGATTGTTATTATTATTATTAATATATAAAATGGGTTCCTACATGTTTTCCATATTAAAATGCATTTCCATATACAGACCAATGAAAGAAAAAAAGCAATTTTGCCACTTTTATGTGTAACTCTTTATATAGAAAGAGCACTTTTGGCTTAAAAACAATACCCGCCCACTTTGCATCATCAGGAAATTAATTTAGCATAAACTTGTGTAAATCTTATGATGCCAATGTAATATTGTGTAAATCTTACAGCACCAATGTAAGTTTTACACTTTTTTATTATTAAACTTACAATTGACACATGCAAATTTTTTTTATATTGTGAGCATGTGATCCGAGTTTTCTAGTCTATTAGGTTATTTATTTATTCAACACACAGCTAGGTCTCTTACCTACTGTTTTACAGTTGACTTCTTTTATC